GCTTCTGAGAGTTTTGTTAGTACCTGATCTAGTCTAAACTTGTTCTGTCTTACATCTGATCTGCCTCCTGCCACGTGCGTGTTATGCCTAACTGTCGCTGGTACAAACTATAAACCCACCTTTTAACACCTTTTTTGTCCAAAGCATGGAGAAATTGGACCAGCTAGCAAAGCGGTTTAGCAACAGAGCTGGTCTCCTGGACGACTGGCTGAACAGCACGGAGAAACTCATGGAGGATCTCCTCAACCATCCGGGTACGCAGGCCGGCGCGGCGAAGAAAGCCGACGCACTAGCTGCGGAGGTTGAAAGCAAGGCAGGTTATCCCACACGCTGTCCTCGGACCCTTGTCTGCGTCCTCTCCCCGTTTTATTTTCTATTAAAGTTTTGCATAAAATGATACAGAGATGCCAGAAGGGACACTATCCAAGTACCTGTCGTTCTGCGGAAGTTGAGGTCTATTTAGTGTTTTTGATTACGGATTGTTGGACTAAGCTGGAACTCCGGATTGGGATTCGGAGTTGTTATCAGTACGAGCATTTACCTGTTGCATAGTCAGGCAAGGATTCATTATGAACAACACCGCATAACCAACCACTTATTTCGTTGTAGTTTGTTATTTAGTTTATATTTTTTGTTAGTTTATTATTTAGTTTTAGTTTGGTTTGGATTTTGGTTTAGCTGGTTATTTTAGTGAGCTTAGTTTCGTTTAATTAGTGTAGTTTTAGTTAAGTTACGTTTTCAGTTTATCATTTGGTTTTATTGGTTTTAGTTTAGTTTAGTTCGTTTGCTTTAGGTTAGTTGTAGTTTTATTAGTTTATTATTTAGTTTTTCGTTTCATTTTCCTCCGCCCTGATATGTCCCACCCATATAACCCCTATTACCACCTGTCCCATATTAAACAAACCTGAGATCTTTTGTTATCCTGGTGTTTTTTATGGGGAATCCTTACCCTGCAGATCGTTTATTAACGTAGACCCTCAAGTAGCTGGCTGCACCTGAGCGTTCGAATGTCTGCATTGTGTATTTTCCGATTTATCGATTGCTTTTCCGCGCCTTTTCACCGCATTAGATGTAGAGCCATTGGGGACGTACAGTAGATTGCATATCTGATGCAAGGTTGGAGATAGGAGGATTTAACGCACACTTGAGGTTGTTTATTTAGTTCATTGGGTTAAATTGGGTCGCAAAATGTAGTATACTAGAATTAAATTACGTTCAGATCAGAATGCTGGGAGAAAATAGAGGCGAAAATGGGCGAA